AATTATCCCAAATTAAAGAAACAAACAGCAGTTTATTGGGAACTGGAGAAGAGGCAGTTTCAGGCAACACACAGAAAGATTTAATCTTTAGAAGAGAGATCTGAAAATGAACTGAAATCCAACACAGTGTCAGTTTAATACTCAAGTGTACCTTTTGCTGGCTCTTGCCATCTCTAATTATCAGGATCACAAAGAATCCCTCCTAATCCCAAGATTCTTCACCCTGTAACATCTTCCTCCCTTTCCCCAACATCCCCCTCATCTTCACCCCTCTACTCCAGAGTCACCACCAGTCCCCCTAACCGAGCATGATGCCATGATACCCCCCAAACCCCCATTTCCCCAGACTTATCCCCTGGGAATCCCTCCTGTGGCAGAGCCTTTCCTCTCCTCTTCCATGACATGACACACAGTTCCGCTCCCCCACCATCGCGCAGAATGCCCCTCACCTCTCACTACCCAGCAGTCGCCTTATCCCCACAGCTCGCCCTCACAGAGCCCCATTCCCCTCCACGATGCTCTTCCCCTGAAGTTCCGCACTGCTCCCCAGGATTGCTTCCCCCACACACCCATGGGCAGCTCGCTGGGATCGCTCCCTCGCCCCCGTGGGCAGCTCCCCGGGATCACCCTCCCACACATCCCCCCGTGCCCAACTCCCCGGGATCGCTCCCCTCCAATCCCCCTCGTGGGCAGCTCACGGGGATCGCTGCCACACACACCCACACCCCCCGTGGGCCGTTCCCCTCCGCTCCCCGTGATCGCTCTCCCCCCCGCCCCAGGTGTGGGAAGCTCCCTGTGCTCCCCGGAATTCCCTCGCCCACGAATACAACCCCCCGAAGCCCGGATCTCTTTTCCCAAGCACCCCACGCAGGGGCGGTCACACGCGCCTCGGCCCATAGGTCGGTTCAGTCCGGCCCCTCTCGCACCTCCAGGGCGGCAGCCGCGGTTCCTGTCCGGCCCCTCTGCCCGGGATTCCATCCCCGCTGAAGGTGCCGCTTGACCCGTGACGTCACCATCACAGGGCTTTCCTTTCCCTGACGGCAATTTCCTCGTCGCGCTGATTGGCTGGAGTCTCCGGCCAATGGGAACGGCGCGGCCCTACCCCCCCCCAGGCCCGTGCTGGGCTGGTGCGGCGCAGGCAGGTTCTCCGCTCCCTGGGGAGGGGGCGTCAGGAGAGAGGGGAGAGCGAGCGAGCGAGCGAGCTCAGGCACCAGGTGGCCCAGGGCTAATCCCGTAAATGTCCGAACAGCTGCCCAGCACCATTTAAAGAGACAGGCCCCTACCACCGCGCCGCGCGTGAGCGGGGCAGGGCAGGCCGGACAATGAGGCTCGCTGCCGCGCGCGGCCCGGGGAGGTCCCGCTATCCCCCTCGCGGTACCCCACGCGCTGCGGCGGTCCCCCTCGCTGTACCCCATGGGGACGACTCTGGGCCCTGCCTCCTTCGTGCCACAGCACCTGGGGGAGTGAGCCGGGCCATTGTCCTGCCCTGGCCCTGCCAGCCTGTGTGCGTGCCCTGGCGCCCTGAGTGCCCCTGGCAGTGGGGAGGATAATACCTGATAGCCCCTCCCCCCTTCCCCGCCTTGTCCGGGCTAGTCACACTGAAAGCCCTTCCCTGTGTCTGTGCCCCATGCAGCACAACGGGCCCTGACCTCAGCGAGGGCCTCCTGCTACTGCCTAGGCCAGCTCCTAACAAAATAATAGGAGCCTCCTCCTTGAGCTCTGCCCGGAGGGAAGATGGCCCTCGTGCAGCCAGAGCCCTTCCCTTTCCTGTGAGGAATCCCAGCTGCGGGAGTGGTGCTCTGGGGCTGGCACCCACGTACTTAATAGTAAAGAAAAAACAGGAAATGACACAGGGGTCGTTTTGCGGGGAGACGAGTCCACTTCTAACCAGGAAAGCAAGATGCCACAGAAACAGGGCCCTTAAAGACTTAAACAGCTAAAGACAATATTACAAACTGGCTACCTGGCCCTTTTGTGAAGTGACCGCTGTTTTAGAGGTTCAGGTTTATGGGGGCAAAACTATTAGTCATTCCATTAGTTTTTGTTTTGTCTAGATGCAGACACTGCACTCGTTTAACCTAAACCCCACATTGATACGCTCTTACTGGGTGTTAGTCTAAACCTGGTCCTAATCAACTTAAGCTAAATCAAATGAAAGCAGCTTTAGATCATTCTAAGCGTGCCACAGAGCCTTCTGCACCAGGTTAACTGATTTTAAATCTCACACTTTTAGTTTAACTGCTGCAATTGTGCATGTAGACAAGTCTGTGGTCTCATTTTCTCCCATTCCACAAAAGGGATGGTCAGGGACAGATTGTGTTACTGCTCCACTGTGCAGGAAGCAAAAGAGGAAAAAACTGAGACAGGTTTCTTGTACATAAGCACAAGTCCTTCCCTTCCTCCTCCAATTATCTACTGCTATAGTAATAAGGTAAAGAAAAAATGGAGAAGTATACAAAAAGCAGCAGCACCCTTTCTTGGCAGGGTGTAGGATGAAAAAGGAAGTTATGGTAATGGAAACATTGGTATGTAATTTTTTGCTTGTCTTATGTCTCTCTTTTCCCATTTCATGAAAGTCTGTCAGAAACAGATGGATGTAAGAAGCACCATATAGGAGAAGGAATTTTTTAATGGAACTTAAAACACTTTCCAAGCAAAGGTGGGGTCTGGAGTTAGTAGATAGCAGATCCAGTTGATAGCATGTTATAAATGTATGGAGTGTCACTTGCCACTGTACATTCACCAAAGGAGTGGCACTAATTTGAGGGTCACTTCCACTTCGTCCCCCAGTGTTTTTGTACTTGCTCAAGGTTCCATAGGCCATGTAGCCAGGGGGAAGGAAAGCACATGGCCCAGCCACTTTCAATCAGTGGTCCCATACTAAATAAGTATGGGTGCTGTCAGTGGTTTTTAGCACTGCTCTGGCTGTGTGGGCACCACAATGTACAGAGGGAAGGGCGGTTGGGCCAGATTTCAGTGAGTGATCTGGCGCGTGGGGAGTCTGTTCCTGTATGATGGAGCACAAGAGAGTCTGCTGAGAACTTGACACTGGCTAGCACCAGCTCATGCACTGTGTGCTTAAGAGAGAGGGATGACTCCTCAGCTGAGGGGAGACCTGGGGTCCCTATTAGGCGGGGGAATGAGTGAAGACAAGATCTGGAGGAGGCAGGGACTGGAATTTGCCCCCACCCCATCCTGTGAAATATCTAAATTGGGGCTACTGCCTCAGAAAGATGCCTCACTTATCACTGTACAGGAAGGAAAGAGACTTCTAGCAGTGGTTCCTGACAGTCATGTCAGGAGGGAGCTTTGCCTGTTCCTGCACTAGACAAATTTATTCCACAATCCATCTGGCAATGGTAGTCTTGCCATTTCAGAGCACGGTAGATCAAAGGACACTCGGCAAATATTAGTGTGTGGCAGCAGAGTCTACACAGACACTTAGTACACAGCAGGCTAGTTTGGGGTAGATTTATACCCCAGCTTTCCAAACTAAATATTTGTGTAGACAAGCGGTTAGCAGCTTTTCCTCAATGGCAGCCCTCAAACCTATTGAACAACTTAAAACTTTCCTGAGGAGAACATAGGGAAAACTTAACTCATTTGACATCCCAGAAAAGTAGTTTTGTGTCCTGAGCTGTACAGAAGGCTGGAATAATACAATATTAGGGTTGGAAGAGACCTCAGGAGGTCATCTAGTCCAATCCCCTGCTCAAAACAGGACCAACACCAACTAAATCATGGCAGCCAAGGCGTTGTCAAGCCGGCCCTTAAAAACCTCTAAGGATGGATTTTAATTGTCCCCAGGGCCCTATTGGAGACAATTCTCTAAAATCTATTACTATCAAACATGTTTTGGGGCTGGCAGTTATTAAGGCCGAAAGGAATGAAAAATTGGGCTCTCTCTCACTAATACCTCTCCATATCTACCATTCTTTCCAGGGAAAATGATGTTTTTTAGCCTTTTTCACAAAGATGAACACAGAATTTCATATTAATGAACATATTGTTCTTCCAGCCTTCTATACTACTCAGGACACAAAGCTACTTTCCTTGAATGTCAGATGGATCTCACTGTGTTAATAGGGTAATGCTAGACCTTTGTAATAAGAATGAAACAAAGATGGGAGCTAATAAGGCCGTGTGAATATGAGATGGCTGAGGCATGAACTCTTAAGGGCTCTAAAGTCCTTTTTTAAATCTTGACTTCTTACTGACAAGGACATTCTACAGGTTTAAGAATGAGCTTCTCTAGAGTACACCACCCAGAGTGGGTGGGATTTAGGGCAGGTCTACACTACAGTGGGGATCGATCCACCGGCAGTTGATTTAGCAGGTCTAGTAAAGACCCACCAAATTGCCTGCAGATCACTCTCCAGTCGACCCCTGTACTCTGCCCCTGACAAGAAGAGTAAGGTAAGTCAACGGGAGATTTTTCTCCCGTTGACCCCCCATGGTGTAGACCCTGCGGTAACTCGACCTAAGGTATGTAGCTGGAGTTGCATATCATAGGTCGACTTACTGCAGTAGTGTAGACCCAGTCTTAGTAGGAGTTTAGAAGGGAGGAGATGGAAACATTCCTGAAAAGCCGGGGGCTAGAGGTAATCCGAGATGACAATATGGGAGCAGAGGTAGACAGAGGTTTCTGAAGGAGAAATCACTGCTCTCCCCCCAAGCTTCACCCTGCAGAGGATGCAGGTACAGGAAAACTGAAAGGTTAACAGGTCCCTGAGCAGACAGAACAGCTTGCTCCATTAGCAGATGTGAGATCAGACCCTGCAACAACCCAGAAAAATGAAGATTGATACTGGATCCCTAAATTGCTCGTTCTGTGAAATCTGTTGCTCTCAGCAGAGGACTTACATACAGAATGAGTACCAGCTTTCCCTTATGCTTGGATCCTAACTGGCTTCAGTGGGAGTGGTGGGGGGGGGGGGGAAGGAAGGAGGTTCTGGGATACCTATTCTCTCTCTCTCTTTTTTTTCTTTTAAAAATTCTAGGGGAAATAAAAAAAGAATGCAAATCAGAAGGAAGAGAGTAGGCAGAACAGGAAAAGTGAGGCAAGGGCTCCTTTCATGTTGGCTGGAGTCTCCGGAACTGGAAGCAGATGGGGGCTGTTCTTGGGTGAGTTTCACTCACAATTTCTTTGCATCATTGTTTTCTGGTAAATGGAGTCCTAATACTGTATATGTTCCTGACAGTACCTTATGTAGGATGGGAGACGATGGATACCCACCAAAGTTTTATATAGAATCTGTCATACAAAGTATCTTTAAGAAAAAATGCTCTAAATAGATTGCAAAACAAAAACTTGCACACAGACAACTGTGACTTTAATGAAGATGCAGATAGGAACTATTAGAGAGAAGGCAAAAATCACATCTCTGTAGGTCAGGGACTGTCCTGTTATGTGTTTGTACAGTGCCCAGCACCATGGAGTCAAGGACCAACAGGTGCTACGGTAATACAAATAATAGTAGATACATAGATTCCAAGACCAGAAGGGACCATTGTAATAATTTAATCTGACCTCCTGTGTAACATAGGACACAGAATTTCCCCAAAATAATTCCTAGAGAATATATTTTAGAAAAACATCCAATCTTGGAGAATCCACCACAACCCTTGGAATATTGTTCCATTGGTTAATTACACACTATCAAAAATCTATGCCTTATTTCCAGTCTGAATTTGTCTAGCTTTAAGTTCCAGCCATTGTACTGTGTTACTCTTTTCTCTGTTAGATGGAGTCCATTGTTAAATATTTGTTCCCCATGTAGATACTTAAAGACTGTAATTAAGTCTTCCCTTAACCTTCTCTTTGTTAAACTAAATAGGTTGAGTTATGTGAGTCTATCAATATAAGGCATGTTTTCTAATACTTTGATCATTCTCGTGGCTCTTCTCTTCACCTTGTCCAATTTATCAACATCCTTCTTGAATTGTGGGCACAGGAAATGGACACAGTATTCCAGAAGCAATTACATCAGTGCCAAATTTCTATTAGAGATTCCCCTGTTTATACATCCTACCCAGGACCCCATTAGCTGTTTTGGCCACAGTGTTGCACTGGGGATTATCCATCATGACCCCCAAATCTTTTTCAGAATCAACACTTTCCAGGATAGAGTCCCCCATTCTGTAAGTATGGCTTACATTCTTTGTTCCTAGATGTATATATTTAGCCATATTAAAACGCATATTGCTTGTTTTTGCCCATTTTTCCAAGTTATCCAGATTGCTCTAAATCAGTGACCTGTCCTTTTCATTGTTTACCACTCCCCCAATTTTTGTGTAATCTTCAAGCTTTATTAGTGATGATTTTATGTTTTCTTCCAGGTCATTAATAAAACTGTTAAATACCATAGAGCCAAGAACTTATCCCTGCAGAACCCAACTGGAAACACCCCCTCTTGATGATGATTCCTCATTTACAATTGCATTTTGAGATTATAAGTTAGCCAATTTTTAATCCATTTTATGTGTGCCATGTTAATTTCATATCATTCTGTTTTTTTAATCAAAATGTGTGGTACCAAGTCGAACACCTTAGAGAACTTTATTACCATTATCAACCAAACTTGTAATCTCATAAAACAAAGATCTCAAATTAGTTTTTCAGGATCTATTTACCATAAAATCATGTTGATTGGCATTAATTTCATTACCCTCCCATCATTCTTTATTAATCAAGTCCCACATGAGGTGCTACGTTATCTTGTGCAAGCTCTATGTCAGGCTGACAAGCCTATATTTACTTGAGTCATCCTGTTTACTCTTTTAAAAATTGACACAGCATTAGCTTTTTTCCAGTCTTCTAGAAGTCTTTCCCAATGTGCTAAGACTTATTGAAAAGTCAGCGTTACTAGTTCAGTAAGCTCCTCAATCAGCAATTATAAAACTCTGGATGCAGGTTATCTGGACCTGGTTATTTCAAAATGTCTAACTTTAGTAGCTTCTGTTTAAGATCTTTCAGAGATACTAGCAGAATGGAATGAGTGTAATCACCACAATGAGACTATATCATCTGTTTTTTCTCCATATACAGAATATAAATATTTATTAAACATTTCTGCCTTTTCTGTATTATTAATAATAATTGTGTCTCTTCCAACTAGTAATGGGCTTACACCATTGTTAGGATTCTTTTTGTTCCTAATATATTTAAAAAACTCCTTATTGTTTTTATCACTGCTGTCCCTATATGTATCCTTGTATCCCTTTGCCTCCCTTATCAGTTTTCTACAATTCCTAACTTCTGATTTATATTCATTACTATCAACTTCCCACTTTCTTCCATTTGTTACATATTTTTCTTTTTTATTTATTTTTATAGCTGCTTTCACTTCCCCTCTAAAGACACTTGTGGGATTGTGTCTTTTTGGGCAGCTAGTAAGGTGTTCTTAAATGATTCCCAATTATCATTAACATTTTTCTGATTAAATTCTTCCTCCCAGCTCATTTGGCTTATAATTGTTTTCAGCTTTGTGAAATTGGCCCTACTACAACACCAATTATATACATTACTGGTCTGGAGTTCATTTATGTTGTAAACTATAATTGTGATCAAGTCATGACCTTTGTACATAAATTACTATTAATATTTAGTGCTGTGATCAGAAGTAAATGGGTGGAGGAAGAGAAATGGCAGAAGTCCTGCATTGCCACAGGAAAGAAAAAGAGGAATCAGAAAATTCCACAAAATTTACCCACAGGAGAAAAGAGTTTGTGGTTTCACAAAGGACAAGGCGTGTGCCTTTGAATCCCAACCCTAGAAATCCTAGAGCATCTGTGTGAATGGGCTAACACCTTCAGCACTGTTACTGGATACCTTACAGCTCAGATTCTTCAGGTGCTGCTAATTATTAGATTTCCCCCACCATACTTGTGCCCTACTGCCCCTTTGAGGTCTTGTCTATAATTTAGATTTTCATCACAGTGGTAAGACTGCTTGAGCTCTATCTATGCTAGTGCTTACAGTGTAGCTGCACTGTTGCAAAAAACAGGTACCAATTACTCTAATATAGTCACAACTTGAATGAAGTAGGCAACACAGTTGAATACCCCCAGATTTGGAGGAGAGCAGACTAAAGTAGGACACTTGGCTCCTAGTTACAATGCTAGCCCTTCTCCTTCCCTCCCGACACACACCAGACTCAGGGTTTCCTGAGGGGAAGAAGAGCAGACCACTTTGGCTCCAAGCCCTTTGCACCTTTTAATCAAGCATCTTTTCTCCTCTCCACTCCACATAGAAGAGAAAGATGGGACCCCATTCACAGTGTAAACTAAAAAGGTGTTGTTTCATGTGATATTGGAATACAACCCTTTCAGAGAGCTAGGGCACTACAAGTAAAACCCCCTCTCTCCTGTGTTGCCTCACGTCTGCCCCCCCTCCATCCTTTAACAACCCCCTCCAAAAAACAATTGGACAGAAGGGTCCAATTGATATAGGGAACAGGAGAGACCAAATAATAGAGAAGAGTGAAATGCAGAAGATGCAATGGGGAACACATGAGGAAGAATCTTTGGAGTTTGGAAAACCAGGTGGTTCATCTGAGTTAGATTCAGAAATGTAGATAAAGCCAGTGAAGGTACCAGAATTATTTAGTAAATCAGCACCACAGATCACTATTGTTTCTGCCTTCCATGAAGTGCTGATGTAGCAGGGCAAAGCCCACCCAGTCCTGCACCATCTCTAGGTGCAGTGGAATGTGTGGGCTCGGCCCCTTCCCATAGGTGCTGGAACTAAGAGTGCGGAGGGTGCTGCAGCACCCCCGGCTTGAAGTGGTTTCCATTATATACAGCAGGGGTGGCCAACCTGTCGCTCCGGAGCCACATGCGGCTCTTCAGAAGTTAATATGTGGCTCCTTGTATAGGCACCGACTCTGGGACTGGAGCTACAGGCGCCAACTTTCCAGTGTGCCGGGGTGCTCACTGCTCAACTCCTGGCTCTGCCCCCACTCCACCCCCTCCTCTGAGCCTGCCGTGCCCTCGGTCCCCTCCCCCCGAGCCTCCTGCATGCCACGAAACCGCTGATCAGTGGGGCTGCCGGTGGGTGGGAGGCGCTGGGAGCGGGATGGAGGAGCTGATGGGGGGCTGCTGATGTATTACAGTGGCTCTTTGGCAATATACATTGGTAAATTCTGGCTCCTTCTCAGGCTCAGGTTGGCCACCCCGATATACAGGGGTTACAGTTTGGTTCAGTGGCTCTCAGCAACCCCATTAAACAAATTGTTCCAGCAACCCTGTCCCTTCCCCTCTCTGCATTCTCCACCAGGGCACGAAGCAGCTTGTCTAATAGGACAGCAGTCCTTGCTGAGCTACCCTCCTCCTCCCCTTGCTCCCTGGGTCGGGCTCTCTTCCACCACCACTCCCAGGCTCACACCTGCAGGCAAAACAGCTCCTGACTGCCTGCCTCCACAGGATGGGATTTCTCATGTGATTTCTCAGCTCTACTCCAGCTGCCAGCAAAAGTCCAGCCAAAGTCAGCAAGTAAGTTTCAACTTTCCCCATGTCCCCCCCGCCAGAGGTGATGTGTGGGGTGGTCATATGCCCCCCGCAACCTTAATATTATGGCCCCCCCACCATCAAGATTTATGCATCATCTCCGCTAAAAGGTTTTCAGCGGTAGAACAGTATAAAGTTAGCATAGATCTACAAAATAATCTTAGAAGAGGATTTATTTTATTTATTTTTAATTTTAAACAGCAAGCACCATATCTTGTCTCATGGACATCCTTTCCCTCACAACATATATTAAATCCCACTTTCTCAAATCAAACCAAAATGGAAGTGGTACAAGAAGCCATTTACTGCCAAATACATACAAAGCAAGTAAAACATTACAGTACATGGAAATAAAATTACTTTGTAGAACACTTTATATTTTCAAAATGTTCTATAAGTATTCATATAGGTAGAATTCATTCTATTGAAGCTTCCTTAATTTAAAGCAATGAATTTAAGAAACCTTTTTTAGATCTTGACTAGATCTAGAATTTAGCTTATGAACATTTTGTGATCAACTAGTTGTCCAACCTTTTATCAACAGATTTAACATGGTCACATATTTCTTTTTCAGGAAGCTATTGGAAAAAGAGGTTACTTACTTTATGTAACTAACGTTCAAACGATTGTCTATTTGTATTCCAGTCTTGGGTGTTTGCATATCCCTACACCAGAGATTAGAATTGTTTAGAACAGCAGTGTTTGTTGGCCCATGTCTGTGCCCTGCCTGCCCTGATGCCCCTCTTCTGAAGGTATAGAGGGGCAGGACATTTAAAGGGAGTATAAAACTATTGGAATATCAGGTTTCCAGCCACTCTGCTGCTACCAAAGAAGGCGAACATCATTGAGTTTAACAACATGGCACTCCTGTTTCCATTAATTAGCATGGCTACGGATAGATCTGCTAAAATGTTTTCATTGCTATAATTCTGTAAAGCTAGCTTTGTGTTTATATTCTCCTAGGCCATAGTTTTCTATAGTAAAAATGATTTCAAAGCTTAAGGGGGGAAGTCAACACATGTTAAAATATAGAGAGTTTTAGAACTAAAATACATTTATTTATGTTTTCTGACCACGGACTTGTACAGATTCTGCCCCTGAAGTTCTTCTTGCTGTCAAGTTTCACAAACAAGCACCTAGAAATTAATTATGCACACCACCACTTGGATGTAGAGGCCAACTGTTCCCCATGAATTTGGCTATTTAGGGCAGTGGCTCTCAACCAGGGGTACATGTACTCTTGGGGGTACGCAGAGGTCTTCCAGGGGATACATCAACTCATCTATATATTTGCCTAGTTTTACAACAGGCTACATAAAAAGCACTAGCAAAATCAGTACAAACTAAAATTTTATAGGGATAATGACTTGTTTATATTGCTCTTTATACTATACACAGAAATGTAAGTACAATATTTATATTCTAGTTGATTTACTTTATAATTCTATGGTAAAAATGAGAACATAAGCAATTTTTCAGTAATAGTGTGCTGTGACATTAGTATTTTTATGCCTGATTTTGTAAGCAAGTAGTTCTTAAGTGAGGTGAAACTTGGGGGTATGCAATACAAATCAGACTCCTGAAAGAGGTACAATAGTCTGGAAAGGTTGAGAGCCACTGATTTAGGGTACTTTAGTACATTTTCTCAATATCTTCACCTAACTTGTTCACAACTTTAGCTTGTATTAGTGCCTTTTTAAATGGTTCCAATGCTTGAACAGTGCAAATTCAACAAGTCCTCCTTTTTTATCTGTTTTTTTAAAGATTTTAAATAAATTAGTTTAACAGAAGTTATGTTCTCTTTCAATCACGAGTTGATCTGTTCCATCTTTCACTTACCTTCTCTAAACAGAAGCTGTTTCTGTGAGCCCGAGAGTGCTAATCCTTCCTTAGTTTCAGTTTCTGCCTTCAGAAGTAAGGAGTAAGTTTAACTGCAATGTTGTCCTCTTGAATACTCTTCTGTTATCCACCTTTTTTATACACAATCTCATAGAGATGAAGGGTGTCCTCTCCTGCATCTAAACTTAGTTTCTCTAATTGCTCTTCAGTCATAATCAGAGAGATCCTATATGTTTCTTCAATTATCCCGTATCCTGTCTGCTCAATTAATAGTTTCCTCTCAGTTGCCTTATTTTCTTCTGATCTATGCTCTTTAGCATCCTGCCTCCTAATATCTGTTTGACCAACCCTGACAAATAGTGAGCATCCCCAGTTTCCACCAAAGTCAGTCCATATTTCTGGGCTTTCCTTGGCACACAGAAATGAAGGGGGACCATTGAGGCCTACCAGGTTACAGTAAGTACACCATAACTCTTCCTACTCTCCCTCCCCAAAGAAGTGAAAGACTGACTTTCTCCCCATTTATAAATATGTCCATCAGTGGCTCCAACCTCTATGGGAGGTATACTGTGAGCAACCCCATCTACATTCTAGAAGAAATAGGGCTCTGTGACTTCAACACACGCTGATCCATTGCTTCACGTACACCTGCATACTGACACAGATGTAGTTTT